GTTCCGTTTTAGTCTTGCGGTTGCCACATGGCATTTGTAGAGCATTTTAAAGAGGGGAAAATGGTCTTTGAAAGAGCTATCTCCTTTCCTATATATAAATAAATAGATATTGCAATTGTTTTAACTTTTTATTTTTTAATCCAATTTTTTTAAAAAAATATACCAATTTTTGTATTTTTGTATAATCTTTCATATGATATCAATATTGGATATAAAAATTAAAAAACAAATCCCATTAAAAATGAATATGTAGATTTTTTTTATATAATATTGATATCATTGGAAAGACCTTAAAAAATTATTAATTATGATTTTTTTTTTAAAGTTTTACAGTAAATAAATAATTTATTTATTGTAATTTAAACAAAAAATGAAATGTAGTGCTAAATGGCAAGGAAGTGGTGAACAAAATTACACTCAAATTTTAATCCAAATAGAAGTGATACTTTTTTTTTCAGATTGTATTGTCGTGTTTTGGTTCACTATACATTAATATCCTTATTAATTACTACGTATATAGCTAATCTATTTTTCAGCGGTAATTATTCCTATTTATGAAAATATTTTCTTAATTTATGTTTCACGTTATTTTGACCCCTATTTTGTTTTGAAAGCTATTTTGACCCCTATTTAGTACAATTTCATATAAATAAATAAGAAATTAGCCATAATAGGACTTAAACATGCTAAAAAACTCATATTAGGACTTACCAAGTTTTCTCTCGTTAATAGGACATATACGCTCCTATCTTACGTTTTACTACTTTAGGAAATATCCTAAATACCCCTATTCGAAGTTAAGAAATTTACCGGCCTTTTTCGGTAAATTTCTGCATTCTTTTTCCTGCATTCTTTTGCCATGGATTTCTCTTGGAGTACGAGGTCATAGCTGCCTGTGTTTCGTTCTTTGCGGAGTATGTTTACTTCAAATTTAAAGCTTTCATAATACTGGCCGTGATTCTGTTTTTGTTCGTCAATTCTTCTTCAATCGTTGTTACATTGAATTCGCAATTGCCTTCTGTTTTTTCCTTCCAGCTCTGTTTTTTTCTTCAATTTCATATTATCGATCCTTTCATCATATGATCGCTTTCAAATTCATTATAATCAACAATTTATTTCGTATGTAGTTGTACTCTGTTTTATTTCATTAAATTTCATCCGCTAATTTAGATATCAGTTTGTATCTACAATTTATTTTGTTTTTGTTAAATTCTCTATTCTTCTACCTAAATTATGCCCTTCGAACTGTCATTTAGTTTGTTCGAACTGTCATGTATATGCATTTTTTGATTACCTGATTAGGCTTCACTATGATTGTTGTACATGGATCGGAAGAATAGCTCTCAAAAGCCTTTTTGGCCACTTCATCTGCAGTTTTGCAAATCTCTTTGACAAATTGACTATTGTCCTGTGACCCCATCCCCCAACAAGATTCAGCAGTTTTGTCCATCTCTTGAGACTGACTCAATATGTTAAACGTAGGCATGTCACAAACTACATCTTCATTGTGCTCGGTCTCTACAACATCTTTATCTAGAACAGCATCCTCATTTTTTGCACCACCATCCCTAATCTGTAAAATATCATCCTCAGTCTGTGCAGCAATGTACCCAGTCTCCTCTTGCACATGAATGTCAGCAGTATCATCATCCTTTAGCCTAGGTTCCTCATCATTCTCGTAATCTTGCCCAGTCATGTCATCATCTTTTTCATTAACATTTTCTTCTTTTTCTGGACTTTCATTCTTTTCAACTTTCTCTGTTCTTTCTCTTGTGTCCTCATCTTCACCTTTATCACTGCCTTGTGACATCTGTTTGACAATAAGTAGAACTTCTTTTAAAAGATATTCCTGCTTTTTCTGAGTTTGCTTAATGTTTTTCATTTCTGCCACTAGTCTGGCAGTCTCCTTAGCTTGTTTCCTCATGCTTTTTTGCATACTGTTACTATGTTTGCTCATGAACATAATATATTTCTCTGTTTTCTTCCACTATCACTTGAATCATCTTCTTCATCCTCACTCTCAGTGCCTTCATCACTCTTTGTTTCCTCATCACTTTCGAATTCCATCTTAATCTTCTTTCTTCTTTTAGAAGTTCCCTCGCCAGATTTACCTTTTCCCTTCACTACTTTTCTTGTTTTCCTTTTCATGCTTCTTATTGCCTTTTTTTGCCTTTTTCTGCAATAGCTTTCATCTTTTCAGCATCTAGCCTCCCCACATTTGGAATAACAATGTCCATTCCATGGCCACCTCTGTCATTGTTTCCTCCAATCATGGCAATCTCTTCTTCTGTTGGTACGATCTGTGTCCACTCAAACTAAACAAGTACACTTTGTTAGTAAAAAAATTGTAACCTTATAATCTAGATATATTTAGACTATTAAAACTAATACCTTGTCATTCTTGAATATTATTTGGGAAAGCACCTCCAGTGTAGGTTTTTTCTTGAATTCCCACTTCAGTGTCCTTGGTAAGATGTTTTCTCTGCCCTTTATTAGCTTGCACAAACCAGCTTTTGCAAGTCCTGGGAATGTCTCAAATGCCCACCATTGTAAAGCCACCATGTACCCAGGGAATGTAACTCTGTCCCCTTTGCCTTTATCTAATGCCTCACAACTTTGTTTTATTTTGTCAACCAACTCGTTCCAAACATCATCACCCCATGGGTAAGCATTGAATGCATCCAAATCGTTTACCAGGTTTATGTAGTATGCTTTCATAGGCCTGGCAGTTTGATTCCCAAACAAACAATGGGACAATATGTATAGTAGAGTCAGCTTCACTCCATCCTTTGTCATTCTTCCTTCATCAGTGCTCTCATAACTCTTCAATGCATTTTGGATATCTGCACGGGACACTGTAGCCTTGTTCCCAAAATATCTTCTCCATATATCTCCCTCAGGCTCCTCTGAAATATTTGGCTTCAGACTCCCAAATTTTAAACCACACATTGTTGCCATATCAGCCTTTTGAAAACTTATTACACTGTTTTGAATATGAAATCTGATGACACTGTCATCTGCATTTCCATTAACTTCAGTGACATAGTTTCCAACAAATCCTAACAGTAGTTGTCCACTATTCCAAGACATATCTTCAATTTTTAACATCCAATCAAATATGGTGTTACTAAAATCAGTCAGTTCCTCAGTGCTAAAACATGTCCTTATTCTTTTAAGAACTTCAGCAACATTGCAGTAAGAATTGACACGCAAGTTTTCCAAGTCCACTAACACTGACTTCTTAAAAGCTCTTGTTATTGTCTGTCAAGTTCACACAAATATAGGCATTATAATCAATTTGTAAAATATTTTGTCATTCAAGTCAAGATATTCATAAATAACATGGTAATATTAACTACTTAAGTCATTAGTTTGCCAGTTTCATACTTTCCCATAAATTGTGATAATTCTTGCAATTTCACTTTTCATTCAGAATGCCACCATATTCTTCTCTATTTTGCATTATGTTGTTTTATAACAACATGACACACTGAAAACTCACTAAACTGTCATTTATGCGTTAGACTTTCAATTTCCAATTCAATGTAGTGTTAATTTCCGTTCAATCTAAGACATATTCATACAATGTCACTATTTCATGCAAACTGTCATCACAATAATGCTACACTTACAACCCCACAATATAACCACATATTAGTGGAATGTCACTTTTCATACAAAATGCCACCATATACTTCTTTATTTTGCACTATTCTGTTGTATAACAACATCACAAACTAAAAATGATCTGCTAAATTCTCACTAAACTGTCATTTATGTGTCAGACTTTCAATTTCCAATTCAATGTTGTGTTAATTTCCGTTCAATCTAAGACATATTCATAAAATGTCACTATTTCATGCAAACTGTCATCACAGTAATGATACATACTTACAACCCCACTATATAACCACATATTAGTGGAATGTCACTTTTCATACAAAATACCACCATATACTTCTTTATTTTACACTATTTTGTTGTATAACAACATCACAAACTAAAAATGATCTGCTAAATTCTCACTAAACTGTCATTTATGTGTCAGGCTTTCAATTTCCAATTCAATGTTGTGTTAATTTCCGTTCAATCTAAGACATATTCATAAAATGTCACTATTTCATGCAAACTGTCATCACAGTAATGATACATACTTACAACCCCACTATATAACCACATATTAGTGGAATGTCACTTTTCATACAAAATGCCACCATATACTTCTTTATTTTGCACTATTCTGTTGTATAACAACATCACAAACTAAAAATGATCTGCTAAATTCTCACTAAACTGTCATTTATGCGTCACATTCTGAAGTTCTAATTCAAACAAACGCATATTCATAAAGTATAACTAATTCACGCAAAATGTAACCATAGTCTTCATACACACTTAAAATGCCACCATATAACAACATGATGCAATGAAATGTTATTACATTCAAACGATTTAAACTTTCTAAACTCCTTTAACTGTCAAACTTTTGTCAATTTCAGACATTCCTCTACTCAACGAAATTACTACTTACTATTTCGGAATTGATTCTGACGGAAACTTTGTTTGACAAATCCATAGCTCTGTCCGTCAACTCTACTCAACGATTCTACTCTCCTCAAATTTGAGCGTCGTCTAAGATGAAGGTTTACTACCTCTGTGCTTTGAAGTTTTGAATCGAAGTGCACTTTTGATAGTCGTCGAATGACTGGTCTCTTCAATCGCATCTCTCAACCGTTCCGATACATGTTCATTTAATTTGGAATCTCTTTTTCGGCAGCCATGATCATAATGGATGCTTGGAAACCGGGAATAGCTGGGGGAAAGAATTAACCGTCAAATAAGGGAAGAGTACGTGTGTATCGTTTAATGAGGTCATTTTTGGCAATTCAACGCATATTTGGTCTTATGCGAGTCGGGGGAAAAGTGGATGTCCTATTTTTTAAATTTTGATAAGTAATAGTCCTATTTTGTAAAATTTCTCTAAATAAATGTACATTCTTTTCAAATTGTCCACGTTTGATTATAATAATTATCACTAGATAATAAAATATAGCTTGGCAACGCCTTGCTTGGCCGGAACTCATAATATCAATAGAAAAATCAAAGCAACTATAAGAATTTGATCGAATAGAAGAAGCATATTTCTTATACTGTATGACATTTCTCTTTTTGTCAATTGATGTACCCAAACACGAGAAAGCACCACAAAAGATGAAATTCAGTAAACGAACTTTATAGAGTATCTTTATTGGTAAAAAACTACTATCGCACAACTAAAGCCAAAAAAAGATAATCAAATCACTGATTAAATCAATCAGTTTGGTGGGGGGAAGAATATCTCCTCTGCAGTCCTCTTCGACCTGAACTCCTTCTCCACATCTTCCGGAACATTGAAAGCAGCCTGAAGCACTTGAGGTGAAAGCGCCTTCCACACTGATGTCTTCCCAGCCAAATGAGTGAAAATAGGGCTGCAAATAAACACAAAAATTATTATCATTGCACTAAACAAAAGGATCCGAGAGAGAAACATTATAATTTCAGGCACTAAAAACTACAAACTTTCCAAGTATCTCCACAAAAACACTGAGATTTCAAGAATATATACTACTTACTTTGGAGTAGAGATGATGGAGAACCACTCCAAGCCAACAGGATCAGAAATCTTAGAAACAACAAAGAACCTTGGAACAATGAACAAGTGGCCTGCTTTGACTGTAGTCTCCAGCACACGCTTCCCATCCACACCTACAACCTGAGCACGCCCACTACCCCTCACAATGTAAGTCACCTGTAGGGCTGAGTCACAAGAGAAGCCAGGGGAACACATGGCGTTCCCATTCAACCTCACCAGATCAGCTCCAAGCCCAACCTCTCCAACCAAAGGCAAGTTCTTTGTGTTCAGCACCACAACTTTGCCACCATCCTTAATGTCAACATCCAAGGGCGCTTCCTCACAGTTCAATGCCATGCCTTCCCTGTGGGATGGGTTGGGTTCGGGCATCTGGAAACCCGGTTCAAGTTTCACAATGCCCTTGCTGGATTGGCTACCCACGAGCTTCTTCACGACACTCTCGTCCAGATTCCATGCCCGGGAAACAAACTCACTTGAAAATCCAGTGAAGATGCCGTTCGGACCAGTCAAGAAGAAGTCGGTGAAAGAACCGGGCTTATGGGCCGTTTTGGTGTCACCAAGGAAGAGAACTACGAGCTCCGTCTCCATCTTGTTGTACCACCAGGTGACTACACCAAAGGGAAGAGCAATGGCGTCTCCCTTCTTGATGGAGATAACCTTCTCTTCCTTCTCAGGAAGGACAATTCCGGCAACTCCATAACCTGAACAGTGCATTCGATCATCATCATCAAATCAAAATCCATGTAGTATAAACTAATAAATAAATATCTGTCAAGCATAGATTTAGAAAAAATTCCACCGATTTGAGTATTACATTACAAAACTAGTATTGAATCCAGCATTGCATATTTTATAGTTCTAAAAAAATCTGCTGATGGTTCATATAAGTGATTGATTTTATCCAGAATTTAAACTTTCGGGGTAACAAATCGCAAATAGGTGAGATACTTGGCAATTCGAATCAACGATCATACCAAATTAAGTACTCAAAAAAATCAACGATCAGGAGACAGAGATCAAATATGAAAACTTATATTCTACCAAGTAATCATACTCGGCAAGCATCAACAGCACATAATCAGAGTAGATTTTCACCTTGAAGAACATAGGCAACCTTGGCGGAATCAGAGTAGCGAGGAAGAGCAAAGCCGTTCTGCTCAAGAGCAAGCTTGGCGGCGCCGATGTTGCCTTGGTGGAGCATCGGAAGCTCCTCCGGGGACCAGGCGTAATAAGCACCGCCATCTCCTCCGTACACCTTTTTGGCCAACTTTGGGGAAAGATCGAGATCCATAGATAAGTTTTAAGAATAAACAGGCAGAAAGTTTTTAATGTGGTATTCAAAATGCATTTAGCGGCTATTTAAAGGGATTACAGAGGTCCTGCGGATATGATCAATTCCTACCCAATCTCTTCTAATCTAACTATATTTCTAATTGGATAGAATTTACTCATGGGATAGAATTTACCGATTAATAGGTACATAAGAATTTGGTTAATGATACATAACTAATGTTTGTTTTTGTACAAATACATGTTAGTATTTACAATAGGGAAAAGTGTCAAATAGATTCTCGAACTTACAAAAAAAGTCAATTAAGTCCTTATATAAGAGACTTTGTCCGGGCGTCTCCATTGAGTTTTGATCCTCTCCGGTAACTAGATACTTCCGGTTGGAGAGAGATAGAGAGGAGGGAAATTATTGTGGGGTATGTTGATGAGTAAGATAGAGAAAAAGGTAGTGATAGATAGGAAGAAAAAAGGAAATGGAGGGAAAATAGAGGAAAAAAATGGAGAGGAGTTGGACTCGTCTTCATTTGGGGCGCTTTCTGATTGAATTTTTTGATGCAATTGTTTGAGCATCTTTATTCATTAAGTCTATTTTGCTCATACCAAATTTCAGCTAAATCTTAAATCGGGAAGACATTCAAATTAATTTTTGAAGATAACTGCGCAGTTATCTTCAAGAATTAATTTGAATGTCTTAGTGATTGAAGTTTTAGGTGAAATTTGAATGAGCAAACTAGACTTAATGAATTAGATATTCAAAAAAAATCATCGAAAAATTTCACCGCCAAGCGCCCCAAATAGAGACAGCCGGACAGAGCCTCTTATATAAGGATTTAATTGATTTTTTTGTAAGTTCGAGAACTTATTTGACACTTTTCCCTTTAAAATAACAGATCTGTAATATACTTCCGAAAAAGTTCGTCATGTTAACTTTTCTTGTTCAATAATAACAAACTTTAGGGAATGATTGTAATTATTATATTTTCATAATCCGTGTAATTTATAAATTTTATACGTTGAAATATTTATTGTGAATAAAGAACATTTTGATTTACGTATTCTGGATAATTCCATATTAAAAAATATCATCATTGAACAAAATTGATTGTCATTGAGTAAGAAAAGTCAATTTGGTGATTTTTTTGGGAGTGAATGAGTAATTAATTGTGATATCTTCAAATGATAGACCGATAGTTTGGAAATCTTGGATGAATCGAAAATTTAAAACAGAAAAGTTTTAGAAAACCCCGTTTGGATCAGATTTAGATAAAAACCAATACCGGTTTGGATTTTATTTTGACAGAAATACCGGATTGGATTTTGTTTTGACAGAAATACCGGATTGGATTTTTTTTATACCAAAAATACCGGATTGGATTTAATTCGTAGTACTTGGTATACAATATGGGGCAGTATACTCCCAAATTCGATTATAACATCTTTTTGATTAAATTGATCTCAGATCTACATAAGACTAAACGTGTTCAAACTTATAAATACATTAAATCATTTTACATCAAATTAGATTTAGATAATAGTAAAATACACATGTAACATATATTTATCAAATCCAAATAGATCAAACTAAACTAAACGAGACTTAAAACATACCAAACGGATCAGAAAATTTCCGTGCAGTTAAAAACACGCAACACTTCATTATACACCCTAATATATTTCTCCACTCAATTAATTAATTAATTAATTAATATAGACCTTATTCTGATTATTTAGTTTAGCATAGACAATGATATATAATTAGTTTATTTTAATTTAAGGCCTTAATTAATCAATAATGATTTGCTTATTTTGACATATTAGATCGTTTTGTAATATGGCAAAAGAAAACTGTCATACAATTTTTCTAAGTTTTACTTTCATGCAAGGGTTACAAAATCAAAATTGTTTAAAATGCTACTGGGCATAACTTTTATTAGTAAACGCGCATTCATTTTTATTTTAGAAAATCACATTTCGATCATCACTAATTTTTCATTTGAGATGATATATTTGTTTTGGTCCAAAATAGGACGCTCGTAGACTTTTAGAAAAGCTACGTACGACACTCAAGCAGGAAATCAGGAAAATAATGCAAATAAGGAAAGAAGCTAAAAGTGTTTAGTTGCCAGAAATAGCATATCTGTATTTGAAATTCGAATTACCTTTTATAGGCGATTACAAATGGTAACTGCCGAACATCATGATGACTAAATTGATTACAACATTAATACGGAATTAAATACATAATTAATAGTACATTGATTGTTGGCTGTTACTCTTTCTAGTTGGCTGTCAGGTCAGCTTGGCTGGCAGTCAGAACGCTTGAGCTCCTCGCGCGGCAGTCTTCCGCTAGGTTGGGAGGCAGACCGCTGGGCGGGCTGGAAGGCAGGCTCCTGGCAGGGCTGGAAGGGAGGCCGCTGGCCGGGCTGGAAGGCAGGCTTCTGACTGGGCTTGAAGGCAGGCTCCTGCCTGGGCCGGAAGGCAGGCTCCTGGATCGGGTGTGCCTGGAAGTAGTGTGTCAACTTCTTGGCAGTGATGTAGGCGGCATATATCGTCTTCTCGAGCAGGGTGTACCGGAGCTCAGCATTCTGGAGGGTCTTGCTTACATAGTGGACGAGATGTTGAACGCCTTCCTCCTCGCGAACCAGCACAGAACTGATTGCGCCTTGGGAGACTCTGAGATAAAGGATCAGTGTCTCCCCCCACTCCGACTTGCTGAGTAAAGGCTCTGAGAGGAGGTACTTCTTTAATTCCTCAAAGGCTTGCTGACACTCATCATTCCAAACGAAACCGTTCTGTTTCTTTAGGACCTGGAAGAAGGGTAGGGATTTCTCGGTGGACTTGGACATGAAGCGTCCGAGGGCTGCTAGCCGGCCGGTGAGAATTTGGACTTCTTTCCTCGATCTCGGAGGTTCCATGTCAAGTATTGTCCTTACCTTCTCGGGATTCGGCTCAATCCCCCTCCGTGTAACCATGTACCCCAGGAACTTACCTCTCTGGACAGCAAAAGTACACTTCTTCGGGTTCAGACGTAGTCGAACTGCCTTCATGATCCCAAAGATCTCTGCCAGGTCATCTGCATCATCGGACGCCCGTGTGCTCTTGACGATCATGTCATCAACCTTCCGAAATACCTTGCCCACCATCCTCGTGTACGTCGCCCCAGAATTCTTCAGATCGAAGGCCATGACAAGATAACAAAAAATGCTCACTGGGGTGACGAACGAGGTCTTCTCTGCATCGTCTTCATGCATGAAAATCTGATGGTATCCTCGAAAAGAGTCCATTAAGCTAAGGAGCTCACATCCGGCCATCCCGGTTGATCGGTGTTAGGCAATGGGAATGGATCCATCGGACATGCCTTGTTGAGATCGGTGTAGTCAACACACATCCTCCAGGTTGGCAGCCTCGGGGCCAGGATCACGTTTGCCAGCCAGACCGGGTATAGGACCCCTCGAATGTGTTTGATACTCAGGAGCATATTGACCTTCTTCTTCACGAATTCCCTCCTCTCGATTGAGAGGTATCTTCTTTTCTGCTGGACGGGTTTCACTGTTAGATCGACCGCCAGCCGATGGACAACGATGCTTCGGTCGAGGTCGGGCATGTCCTCCGATCCCCATGCAAAGATGACGCTAAAAGGGACAAGGACCTGGATGATCTTCTCCCTCAAGCCGACCGGGAGCCCGGTCCCGATCTTGACCTTCCGCTCCGGCCTCTCGGGGTCAATTTGGATTTCCTCCACTTCTGAGGTGGGTTCAGCGCGGAGCTGATCTTCCTCATACTTCACAGCTTTGTTTTTGATGGTGTGGACCCTCAAGTCTAGCCCTGGGACCGGTTCGGTTCCCCTTAAAAAGGAGGAACCGTTTAGAAAAAACACAATTTTTTATATCGATTCGGTTCCAATAAAAAAAAATCTAGAACCATTATGGAACCGAACCAAGTGTTAACGATTCGGTTCTTGTCATTTTTCGGTTCTTAAAAAACTAAAATCAGCCAATTCCCGCCACAAAAAGTTAACGTACACCACAAAACTGGAATCGATCATATTATAATCCCATTTCAAATAACCATCAAATTTAAAATTACAAGTTCGGGATTGTGAAAACTAGGATTGATTGAAACATGAAAGTTAAATTGTTCAATTAAGTCTCCTAACAAAAATCACAGAGCTATAACACATTAGTTAGCTTAGGTAATCACTTTAAAAGTGACACATGTCTTTTTTTAACCAAGGAACTATAACACTTGTCTATTCATAATTTAAGAAAAAGGAGGAGAAAAGGTTAAACATTATTCTAATATCCAGTCATATTACATTTAAACACAAGCCCAAGCAAATGCAAACATTCTTACCACCCCATTTTAATAGATTCAACATTTTACTTTCTAGCCAGAAAATCAGATGAAACAATATATTGACAAGCAATATATTTTCTTTCTTGAACTAGGTAGGCGGCTTGAAGAACTTAAGCTTGAAGCCAAAGTAGACTAGACCATGCACCAAATACTACCAACTACTGAAAGGGCTAAGTTAATGGTCACCCCCAACCAAGGGTCCAATTCAAGTACCAATTGAAATAAACTAATTTGAGCTCTATATGCATAGTTGTGATCTAAAGTACAATTTAATAAGCTACGTATAATATTCAACATTGATATACTTGATAAAAAACAGTTTAGTAAAATGATTGCATTCCTAACCACTATAGTAGACTAGTAGTCGCAAACATTTTAGGGTTCTTCAACTCTAGTCTTCTCTAATTTTAGTTGTTTTTTTAATTACTTTTTTATGCTTGATTAAGTAAACACATCTTTTTGTACATGAGACATAATTGATAATTCAGTCATTCACATATGGAAAAAGCGAAAACAAATACTACAATCACAGAAAAAGAAATGGAAATTAAATAGCTTCAGATATTTACATACAGTGTGCCTTCTCTTTGCTTTTGACGGAGGGCTAGTGGGCATTGGGAAGTGGGAGGCAGCATCGGAACAGGATAGTCTACACAGAAGACCCAACATGAATAGAAAAACAGCTAACCAAAATAAGAAGGCAAGATCTATTCAGAACCTTCATTGGTTTTGCCAGGAGATTCAAAAGTTTTAATTAAAGAAATACAGAGAGAAAGAGAAGACAACTTAAGGTCTACGAGCTCTCCTTTGGAAGCTTTGATGAATCCATGAAATTCACTGAGCAGAGTAGA